GGTTGTTGGAACACCTGGAATGCATTTACATTTTACTGAATACAAACAAGTAACATTGATCTGACACTCTTAGAAGCTCAGACAGTATTAAAGGCAGAGACACCTAAGCAATATATTTCTGTAAGAGGTATTCTTAGTATTCCCAAGAACAAAACTGTATTGCCGTTCGCCAGTCTATAGATGAGGTGGCGGCAACATTTCTCCTTTTTTTTTTTTTAGGCTTATTTTCACCTGGTGATCCTGCCAGTAACACACTTCCTGTTCTAGGGTAATTATACTCTCATACTGTATCTATGAAGGAGAAGCATTGCCACCCTAGAACAGCAAGTGTTAGGACTACTGAATGCCTTCCTCTCCGTAGCATTGGAGGGGTGTTTTCTGTAGTTAAGAGGTGACCTGGGCAACGCTGGTGAAACCTGCAAGAATGCTGCAGAGTCCACAGGAATATATGAGGTCACTGGATTTCTGGCACATCAGATATAACAAAACAGTCAATAGTATATTTAACAGGCCAAATGGGAGTAATTAAGAGAAGTTTCTTGTTGTTGTTTACATTCACTGTAAAGCTGACCCCTTCCCTTCAGTCTTCTATCTGACCTCTGGCCTCCCCTTCAGTCTTGCACAGTTGTACCGACTCCTCTCCTGGACTGAAATGGCTTCCTCTGATGTCACTGCTAACTGGGAGCTCCTCATAATGTGCATTAGAAGCTGCAGCAAGTCAGATAGAGGCTGTCCCTGGCCCGCCCATTTTATTCATTAGATTTCTGTTCTTTCAATCATGGAGGCTCAGCATCACATGTGGGCGTTACCTAAGGAGGTCTGCATGCAAATAGTCTGCTCAGGAACGCCCACTCCTCCAGACTGACACCCACCTATAAGGTATTTTGTTATTTGCATAACTGTTCTGAAGAGCTGACCCACTGCTTGCATCAGGGCTGTAATGTTTTCAGGAAGCCATGCACAACACCCTCCCGGCCCTCCCACCAGCTTTCCGCTGTATTGCATAGAAAAGCACAGAGACACAGTGATGATGCATCTCACATATAGGGTACATAATGAAAACAGAACTTTTAGTTTAGTCATTTCATTGGCATGTTAATTAGGGGCGGTGGAGGTACCAGGGGAGGCAAAATATAAGCAGATTAAACTTCAGCTTTAAGCAATTTCCATTTTTGTGCATGGTGTTTTGAATGCGCTTGACTTGTGACGTTTATTATGCAGGTGTTTGTCGAGAGCTCGGACTCCACGGACCACCAGCTGCCATTTCCGGAGTCTCGCCTGTGGAAGCTCCTCGACCGTCACGCTAACACAATTAGACTGTACGTGTCCCTCCCGGAGCATGTCCCCGTGGCCCAGCGCTCCTCCAGCGCAAAGTCTTGCAGAGACTGGGAAAACCAGGCGGCGTTCTGCGAGAGGGGGAAAGGCGGCGGGAAATCCGTGGACGCTATTTTGGAGGAAAGCACTGAAAAACTCAAGTCTCTGTCCCTCCAGCAGCAGGAGGAAGGGGGCAACGGGGACAGCAGTAAAAGTACAGAGGGCAGCGACTTTGAAAACATTGACTCTCCGCTGAACGAGGCGGATTCCTCAGGGTCGGCCGACAACCGAGAACTGGAGAACCGGATTCTCCCCGCCGACTCTGAGAACAACTTCCAGTCGGAAGAGCGATCGGACTCTGATATTAATAACGACCGGAGTACTAGTTCTGTGGACAGCGATATCCTTAGCTCAAGCCATAGCAGCGACACCCTGTGCAACGCGGACAATGCCCCCATACCACTAGCCAACGGGCTCGACTCCCACAGCATCACCAGCAGCCGCAGATCCAAAGCCAACGAAGGCAAAAAGGAGACGTGGGATACGGCCGAGGAGGATTCCGGGACGGACAGCGAGTACGACGAGAGCGGGAAGCGCCGAGGGGAGGCCCAGTTTGTGTATTTCAAAGCAGAAATGCATTCTGGGGAGGAAGGATCTGGGGAAGGACAAAAATGTACGTTTCCGTAAGTCTGTGCGTAATGGTGAGAGTTGGAGAAAGGAGCACTTCACTTTTATCAGCATGTGTATATCTCTGAAGTACAAACTCCGACCTGTACTGAGATGGATTGCTGGGTGTGATGGTCGGCCGCTCCAAAGTCGATAGAATGAAGCTTTAATGCCAACTTTTTGGGGCTGCTCTTTGTCAGCTGGGGTGTCCCTGGAGTAGAAGGATAAGAGTGCCGCGAGTTTGGTAAACATTTGGTTTTCACAAGTTTATAGAAGATATGCCAAATGCGTTTTTGGGTGCTTTAAAAATCCCCCTTCATCAGGGCTTGAATGCCGTCAGTGATTGGAGATGAGCCCTCCTTACCATCTTGTCTTGAATTGTATTGTAACTGTAATGAGGGATGCACCGATACCGGTATCGAGTACCGAGATTTTTATTTCGGTACTCGTTGATACCGGATACCGAGTACCGGAAGTCCCATTCAGGAAGCCGGGCGGCGTGTAAAGGCTCGCTACCCGGCTTCCCGATTAGCAAGGAAGCCGTCGCAATGCTTCTCGTCACTATGTGACTATAATGCATGAGGCAGGTTTTCTGGCTAGTCAGGAAGCTGGGCGCCGTATAATGATGCAATGACCGGCTTCCTGATTGGCCGGGATGCAGACACCATGCTCCCTCGTCGTGAGGAGGGAGCATGAAGCCGGCTTCCCAGCCAATCAGGAGGCCGGGCAGTGAATCATTACACGCTGCCCGACTACCTGATTGGGTGGGAAGCCGGCTCCATGCTCTCTCGTCACAAGTGATAAGGGAGCATGGAGCCGGCTTCCCGACCTATCAGGAAGCCGGGGTAGCGTGCAATGACTCACTTCCTGTACCAGGAAGCCAGGCAGCATCGGGCTAGGCATCGGAGCATTTGGGCGAGTACTCACCCAAATACTCGGCACCGATGCTCTCTGTTCCTCCAGTGCTCAGGGGAGGGGGCGGGCACTGCTGTGAGAGCATCTCTCTCGGCTACAACTTTTCGGAAACCCCGGAAGGGCTACCCGTTCCATTTCTAGGGGGCCCAGACAGACCATGAAATCGTGTTCCACCTTCTCCCGTCAGGGCTCACTCTACCGTGTTTCCCCAAAAATAAGACAGTTTCTTATTTTTATTTTTTTCACGAAAAAAAGACACTAGGCCTCATTTTCGGGGGATGTCTTACCTGGCTGCAGCTGTCCGCTCTGCCGTCCAGGGAGCCACAAACAGGTGGGCTGGCATGCGTGCGGCCGGGGAGGCGTGTCTGGCAGGGGGGCGGGAGGGAGCTGCGTCTCCGCTCTGAACCATAGAGAAACAGATGAGGGGGCGGGCATGCGTGCGGCCGGGGGG